TGGAAGACTCTCTTACAGAGTCTTCCAGCAGCCAGCCCATAACCATAGAGCGCACTCCTAGAGCGGCCACCGCTGGAAGACTTGGCAGCCGAGTTTGGTACTGGAGATGAAGTTATACTCGGAGCATGGCGATGGCTACTGCAGGGAGAGCTGGACAACTCCCCCCTCCAGCCAGGCAGAATGCCACTCCCTAACCTAGTGGTATCCCAAAGGCGGCAAGCAATGTGAGTGCCAGCTCCTGCGGCTTGGCGTCTTCAGGATACCGCTAGGTCGATGAGCGGTGCTCTGCCTGGCCTGGGGTGGGTGGGTTGTCCAGGGGATTTATTTTCGGGGGTGGGCTTATATTTTTGCCCATGCGAAAAATGTGGCAAGGCTTTAGTTTCAGGACAGGTTGCATTTTCAGGGAAACAAGGGTAAAAGGTTCATTAATATAACATAATACTGAAGTTAAAAAGAAGAATGGAGAGAAAATACAGCCTATTTGGATGGGATAAAAAGAAAACAAAGAAGAATTAAAGGAACCTCCAGGCAAGATAAATATCTCTAATCGAAATAAACTGTTACAACAACGGCTAATATTTGCAAATAACCTATGGAAACGGTTAACTTATGAAACTTATAAGAAATTAAAATGATATTGAAAATTCAAGAGAAACATCGTTGAACTAGGGACAGCCCTCAACTTATGACTGTTTGTTTAATGACTAAAGCTATGATAGCCTCGGAAAAGGTCATTTAAGACCTGTATTTGCTCCTACATCCAAGATCAGAGCTAGTAGTGACTTGAAGTCATATAAACAGTTCAATGAAGATATAAACAGATTACAGCTCTGCTAATAAAAAATCATGTTAGGGAAATAATAAGTGGTATTAATATAATATAATAATTATTGGGAGTTGGACAATATATAAATTAAATATATACAAAAATAAAAGAGAGATGTATTATAATACAAGTTATTTATTATATAAATTAATGGTGCAATGTCAACTGGGAATACTGTGTACAGTTCTAATCTCCATACCTCATAAAGGATATAGTAGAGTTAGAGATTTAATAGAGGACAGCAGCTTCTCTATGAAGAATGGATGTGACATTTGAGAATGTTTTGTTTAGAAATGAGTGGATAAGAGTAGTCATGATTTAGGCATAGAAAGTTTGCATGGTATATATAGATAAAGTAGACAAAGAAAAGCTATTTTATATTTTCCTAAATACTAGAACCAGAGTTCATTCAATGAAACTGAATTCTGGAAGAAATGCGACAGACAAAATGCACAATTAAACTTTGGAATTGTCTACCATAAGATGTGGTACTGGCTACTAGCTTGGTTGGTCCCAAGAAAAGATTAGGTCAATTTTTGTAAGTCATGGGGATCAACAGCTATTAGTTTTGATGGTCATGTGGGTGCCTCTGAAGGCCATCTGTTGGCAGACTAGTAGGCTTCCTTGTGTAATTGGCTGATCACAGTCATAAGACTTCTAAACTATATGGGTCACAGACCCAACCCAGCAGAGTAATGCTTATGCTTGAGACTGTACTCAAAGTTTCAAAAAGTATGGCAACAGGATAGAAAAGGTGAATTTGATAGTCAAACTGGAATCTCACCAGACTATAAAATTAAATTAAAATTATTTCAGCAAGCATGACTATTAAAACATTAACAAACACTACTTCACACTCCATTACATTATTCAAAGTCCAAATTGGGTATATAAATCTTACCGTGCTACCACTAAAAATTGGTCAATCTGATGATCAGTGAGATGGCTATCTGGATCCCAAACTTTTACTTCAAGTTTTGCCTGTTCTCTGTCATCTGTTTCTCCTGGAAGAAATAACATAGCAGATTAAACTTAACCGATTAAATAAGCAATAAAAATATTATTTCAGGAAGAAATAGTTGCTATCACATAACCTGTAAAATATAATATTTTTTTACAGATGCCTTCATTTGATAATAAACATCTGAATTGGGAATCTTATATCCACTTCAAATTTCTCTAAAACTTTATCAAGTACTAGTCAGCCTAGGACCTCTTTGGTCATTTTTTAAATGATATTTCAGAAATAGAGAAATAGAATGATCATGAGTGGGCAAAAAACAAGTGGTAAGAGGAGTGACTTTTAACTGCCTGTCAATTTCCCCATTGATATTGCTTGCAGAAAGCTGGGAGGAGCTTGGAAATCCATCGTCCCCCTCCCTTCCTCCTCAGAACTATCTGTCACTTTGGTGAGGGGAAGAGAAACAAAGCTGTGGACTGCAAGAAAACTGCTCCCATGTCCCCAAGGGTGCCTTCTGTCCAGGGATCTGTCAACCCCCAGCATCCCTGAGCCAGCTCTATCTTGCCAGCAGACATCAGTCACTCCTTCATCCCACCCTCACTGCCCACTGTTGTTAAGAAATTTCAGACTTCAGTCTCTGTTCTAAAGCAGCCAATTGCTGCTTACCAGTCACGCCTTGCAACCAGATAATTGAGTGCAGGGACCAGGAGGAGACAGGAAAGAGGATGAAAATATGACAATCCCATTGATGTGCTATGCAACCTGCAGGTTTCTGTTTAGTGTAGTTGGAAGGTGTGATGGAGCTTAAGCAGCTACATATTCATTCCTACAGGAGTCATGGATACCAACATTTTGTAAGTTAGGCCATTTGAGCTACCCTGGTTCAATCACTGTTGCCTAGACCTTCCAATTTTGCTCAACAGAAGATTACAAAGAGACACAAGAGTTTTAGTAGTTTTAGATATCCAACCCATAATCACGTAATTACATTCATTTTTTTTTGTTTCAACAGAGTCCGGACAGTACTTAAATATAGACTTAGTCCACCAACTTAATTACTTATAGATCTCTGCTTTTTAGTCACCGATTCAACATAAAAGTAATTTATAGCTTTTCCTGAATGCAGTGTCATTTGTTCTTGCAACAAAAAGCAATTAGACAATATTTGTGCAATTCAGTAATCCATATCTTTGTTTCTGTGGCTAGACAGCTTGTCTCTGATCTTTACTTCCACTATATTTTCTTGCAGAAAAATCCCCACATCACATCAGTGGTCTGCATCTCCGAATTGTCCAAATGAAGACACAATATGCAAAGTTCAAGTTTGTAAATCTTTATTTATACAGGGTGCATTGTTGAATAAGTCAATAATTCAATTTCTACTTTCACCTCAAAATAAATCCTTTATAACACCTATGATTATTTTCTGGGCACATCAGCATTTTCTGGAGATTTTACAAATATGGATAGATATCAAGATAACAAGATAACAAGATAATCAAGATGTCTTTTTTTGCTTGAAGAAATTACCAGTAAATCAAACAGTTACAAAATGTCTACTATTGGAAATAAAATAAAGCCATGATTAGCATTGCAGGATAATTTTATCTTAACTTTTAGAGTTGTAGTTTTCAGTCACTGTGCCAAGGTTTATTTGGGTGTTCAGAACGGTTGGCAGATATACTGCAACAAGGAGCAGGAAGTGCTGCACACTTGTGCAGCCAGAACCTCACTTCCCTGACATCAACAGGGGTGGACCTGCCTCTATTTTTCCTTCCAAACCCAAGAAACCTGTAATGTCAAAGGACTTCCAGTTTCATGACCTAGAAATCTTACTTATAAGATATGTGCTTTGAGGTGAAATTAGGTTGGAAAAGTCAGTCTTCCAGAGAGTTAGGAAAATATTTTCCATATTTTCATTTTAGGAAACCAGCAATAACATTTTCCAATAATTAAAACTGTGGTTAATATTTTAGAACAAGTTTTAATGTATAAATTAAATTATCAATTATTTTTGGGATTTTGTATATAATTGAAATATAAAGTATTAATTTATTGACATTGTCCAGTATGTAATACGATTACTAATAGACAATTAAATGTATCCCGAGAAACCTAATATTACTTTCACTTATTTATACTTATCATTATATTTTATTGCTTTAATATTTTTAAAAAATCATCTTTCTACCATGAAGCTTAGCATACTGGATATACTCATCCTTCTACTTTATCCTATGAAGCCATTTAGCCTGAAAAAATAACTAGCCAGGTATACTTCATTGCTACAGGCAATTTGAATTTGAATCTCCTCTAATACTCTAATCACAACTGATCCTATTAGCAATATATTTAATTTTTTAGAAAAATCATAGGGCATGTTCGTCCCTGAAGCATATTCACACAAACTGTAGATGAAATTAGTTTTATGAACAACATCAGGAATAAAAATGTTCTGGCAATCAATCCCCTTGTAATGGTCAGATCATTGAACAGGGGTTTGGAATAGAAGCCTCCAAGGTCCCTTTCAACTTGGGACTCTGTTACTCTGTTAATTCATTTTATCCATGACCCACTGAAGCTGCCACAAAAACCACTTTTACTACCACGTTCCCTAAAAAGAGAAGGTGAGAGATTAGATGAAAATTGTCTAGGCAGATGGGATCAAGAGACTGGGGCAGACTGCAGCTTCCTTGAAAGATCCCAGGAATGTTCACTCCTGCAATGAAGAATTTATCACTGCCTGAACCTATCGTACCTAGTCATCACTGTTCTGGAGGCTTTCACCAGCCAGGAGGAACAGCTGATGATTGACTGGTGGTTGTGCTGAGGACCTTGAATACTTGATCAAATCCAAAAACATTAAATTGTTCCTAAATAACTGGATAAGATCTTTCCATAGACATGTCTAATAGATCTGCATCACACATGTATTACAACTGGAAATGGATTCAAATGACTTTGTCAAGTGTTCCACAAATTCTATGCATGGCCCTCAAGATGATCAACTGAGCGCCCTATCACAGCAAGGATGGATGATTCTGAACAGGCATGCCAGGCAACATGCTGCAGATGCAATATGGAAATAATAGTGTTTCACTGCTCTTATCACCACAAGGTAACACATCTAGTCAGATTCATCCCTCGTTTTTCTTCAGCAGCTGTTTAGACATCTCTTTGCCCTTTTCAGAACCCCCAGCTCCTATGTGAGCCATAGGTCAATAAAGGCCACACAGATGTGATCCTATCCAAAGGTTCAGCTGCCCTTTGGTTCTAAGACATAACCAGAGCTTCAGCAATAGCAGTTAGACTTATATACTGCTTTACAGTGCTTTACAGCCCTCTATAAGCATATTTACAGAGTCAGCATATTGCCTCCAACAATCTGGATCCTCATTTTACCGCCCTTGGAAGGATGGAAGGCTGAGTCTACCTTGAGCCTGGTGAGATTTGAACTGCCAAATTGCGGTCAGCTGGCAGTCAACAGAAGTAGCCTGTAATACTGCATTCTAACCACTGTGCCACTGTGGCCATCAAATTGCCTATTCCTGGTTTACTATGATTTGCAACATTTGTTAGTTTCATCAAAGAGACTTCTATAACTCAAATTTAATATCCCAAGGATCATTTAAGTATTATCTTAAAAAAAACTTTTTTAGCGGAGGAGGTAGCAATCACCACGGTTCTCCAGATTTAGTAGCCTCAACCACTGTGTCTTATCTTTCAGCCATTTAGACTAGGAA